TATTATTATTATTATTATTATTATTATTATTATTATTATTATTATTATTACCTTTAAAAACACATTGAAATACAGGGGAGAGTTGGAAGGGAGAGGCCCGCAGGCTGGAAAAAAATATATAAAATGAGACAAGTTGGCAGCAGTGATGGAGGAAAGGGGGATGAGAGATGGAGTTTGGGTGCAGGAATTAAAAAAAAAATAGGGTGAAGATGACCGAAGAGATTAAGATAAAAGTGTTGTGAGAAGGACCTCTGGATCATAACAGAATAACAGAGTTGGAAGGAGGACCTTGGAGGTCTTCTAGTCCAGCTCTTTGTTCAAGCAAAAAAAAAAAAACCCTAGAACATTTCAAACAAATGGCTGTCCAATGTCTTCTTAGAAACTTCCAGGGATGGATAACCCAGAACCTCTGAAGGCAAGTCATCCCACGGGTTAATTGTTCTCACTGTTGGGAAATTTGGACCTCTCCTGGATTAGTTTCTATCTGCTTTGGAGAATAAGTTGACCCTTCTTCTCTGTGGTAACCCCTTAAATATTGGAAGACGGCTATAGCCCTTCTCTTCCTTAGACTAGACGTACCAAATTCCTGCCACTATTCGTCCTTCGTTCTAGGTTGCTTCTCTCCTTGATCATTTCGGCCATCGCTTCTTGTCTGGCCTTCAGGTGCTTTGGATAACAGGTCGACCTCTTCTTTATAAACCTCCACAAGGGAGTTGGTTATGGGGCGGGAAAGAAGGAAGGCCAGCTCATATGAGACCCAGGGCCTTCTCTCCAAATCATTGTTCGTTTGCAAAGGAGTAGAATCCAGCTGATAACCAGACACGGGGCTTTTCCGGCTTCTTAAAAATCATGGTTGGGGAAAAAATAATAATAATAGAGTGTCAGGCCTGGAGAACAGGGTGTGTGTATGTGTGTAAGTGTGCGTGTAGGTGTGTGTGTGTGTGTGTAGGTGTGAGTGGGCTTGGACTCTGACCATGTCAGGCCGCACCCCAAGAGCTGACCACGGGGGTGGGGGGGGAGATGGAATTTAAATCGGAAATAAAATGGCTGGAAAGAAAAAGTGGCCGTTGTTTGGTTGCAGGGAAAGCGGATGGGACATCTTCGGATAACAGTTGGACAGAGGGCAAAAAAAAAAAAAAATGGGAAGGAGGGAAGATGTGTGTTTGTGTGCGAGTGTGTGTGTGTGTGTGAGAGAGAGAGATAATGCATGTGTGTGTGTATGTACAGATGTGTGCTGAGCGCAAGCCGGGTGGCCAGAATGAAAGGAAGGAAAGATCGGGAGGAGGAATCCAGAGGAGATGAGAACTGAGAAAGGGAGGAGGACCAAAAAAAGATTTTTTTTAAAAAAAGATGGAGAAACACCCGGGGAGATGCTAAAAAAAGGAATGCAGGAAACCCAACTGAAAAGGGGGATGAGATTGGTGGGGAGAGGGAGCAGAGAGCACCGGGAGGCGGAGAATGCCTGCTCTCCAACCTCCTCCTCCTCCTCCTCCTCCCCCCTCAATTGTCTCCCATCCTGATTATGGGACTTGTAGTCCATCCCGTTTCAATGGGACAGAGGCCCGGTGGAAAGGCAGGGAATGCAGGCGGAAGAGGAGGAGGAGGAGGAGGAGGAGAGGGGCGGCCTGGGAAGGAGGGGAGGATGAAAGAGGTGGAGGGGGGGGTGGGGGAGGGAGGGAGGGCCGCCGTCGCCCTACCTTTGTGCATGCCAGTGTAGCGGTCCTTGAGCACGGTGAGCTCGTAGATCTGGCCGAACTGCTCGAAGAGGGGCTTGAGGTCCCTCTCCTCCAGGTTGCGGGGGATCTGGCCCACGAACAGCTTGATGGCATCCAGATCCTTCATGCCCTCCGGGTCGGCGGCGCCGCTGCTGCTCATGGGGGAGGCGCGGGGCGGCTGCTGCTGGGGCTGCGCCTGCCGCCTGGGCTCGCTGGCCGGCAGTCTGGCCATGCCCCGGGTCCCCACGCGGCCGGGCGGGCGGGCGCCCCACGGGAGGAGGAGGAGGAAGAGGAGGAGGAGGAGGATGCGGGCGGCGCGGAGTCGGGAGCTGCGGGCGGCGACCAGAGATGCAGCGGGAGGCGAAGTGGCGCTCGCAGCATCAGGACCACAAAAGGCGGACCGCTCCGCAGCGACGCCGCCTGGACGGACGCGGAACTGCAAAGCGCCGCCGCGCGAGAAATGGGAAGAGGGTGAGGGGAGGGGGGCGGAGGGGGGGGGGAGAAGAGAAAAGAGGGCACCGGGAGAGGGGGAGGGGGAGGGGGGGGCTTCCCCGGGGCCGCGGGAAAAGCAGCCGCTCCCGCCACGTCCCCACGACCGGCCGGGGCTTGGCTCGGGGGTTGCGGAGGCTCTTGAGAGGCCGGCGGATGGGGGGGTGGGTGGGGGGTGAGGGGTGGGAGGGAGAGACAGCTGCTCCCGTGGATCGGCAGCGACTGAAAGATAAAACACAGAGGGGGGGGCACCTTTGGGGGCGACTCCAAACACTTCCGGGTAGTAAAATGAGAGAGAGAGAGAGAGAGAGAGAGA